ACTGCTTAAGCTAAGATGTTAGTTTTTCTCTGCCTTCGGACTGGGAATATATATATTATATACACACACACGCACACACACATATATATTAGAATATATGTCTTATACATATAAAATCTCCTATTGGTTCTATATTAGAACCCTGTCTAATACAGATGGAAACTAATATTTGAGTATCTACACTGTTGTAATGACTCTGCTGGGGGTTTGACAACTCATTTGATGTTAACAGAAGTTCTGGGAGGTAGGTGTTGTTCACTCTCCTTTACAGATGTGGAAACCAAGATCACAAGTTCATAAATGTGTAAGTCAAGATTTCAGATCTCAACCTGACTACAAAACCCATGTTTTTGCCAGTGGTGTTTTCAGATAGTGTTCCAAGGATACTTGATGTTCCACAGATGCAAAGCTCTAGGTCTTCTACCTCCATATCAATCAGAGAAAGCTCCAGTTCTGGGCACTCTGTAGAGGGATTTTCCATAAGAATTCTTTTGAAAATAAAAGGGAGAGGGAGTGGCTTAAAAAGGAAAAATAATCTAGAAAATCACTCCCTTGTATCAAGCAGACTCCTTAAGATATGACTATGTTCCTTACCCATTTCTATATGCAGACAGATTTATCACCAAATAGACTATCTTAGTGCTGTTAGTGTGCATGTTCTCAGAGAAAATGCTTCAAATGGAAGACATGCCAGGTATCTGTCATGAATAATAATGGCCATAATATATTGAACATCTGTCACGTGCTGTGTGATCTGCTCTAGGAGTCTTACAAACATAGTCCTATAATCCCTTTAAACATAGTCCTATTTAAGCCCTGTAACAGCCACCTCCACCCAAGGTAAATAGGAGTATTCCCATTTCATATTTATCAGAACTTAAGGGAATTTGACCAAAGTAAGAGTCGGAGCTTGGAGTTGATCCAGGTTTATCTGGCCCTAGAGCTCATTTTCTACACCATACCAACTCTTGTGGAGATTTATAGAGAAGATTTATGTAGGGAGTTTATTATAACTCGTGGGGGCTATAGCATGCCCAGCACTGAGCACAAAAACTGCCTCCACCTGGAGATGATGACGGGGCAGTATTTTATTCTTAACAGTGCCTGCATTTGACTGTGCCCGTGAGAGGACACAGCACCGTGCAAACACGTGGGGGATGGCAATAAAACTTGTCCTACCATGCCTAGGAGGCACAGTTCAGAGCCTTAGATGATCCCCCATCTTTCAGAGAGTAGAACATTGAAAATGGAAAATTCTGAGCTGTTACACTGCTCTCCGGAGTCGTTGGCGGCTACCCTGTGCTAATGAGACAATTCACTAACAAGTCAATCATTAGTCCTTCATTTACTGCTGGCCGACAGGTAAGGTAGGCTCCCTTCAGCCCCCCAGAGATTTCTACCTCCCATTGCCCAGTTCTTAAATTATTTGCTGCCCCTTGCCTGTGTTTTTCTGCTTTAAACTTTGGTCACTGGTCTCATGGAGGATATAAATTTCCTAAAGTCCTAAATGTATTCGATGTGGCACACATTATGGTAAATTTCAAATATATATTCTCTAGAAAAGCTATCTTTTAAAAATTGTAGCATTAAAATACATGGCATTTGGCCGGGCGTGGTGGCTCACGCCTGTAATCCTAGCTCTCTGGGAGGCCGAGGTGGGCGGATTGTTTGAGCTCAGGAGTTTGAAACCAGCC